CACAACTAAACTGGTTCTCACTATAACCAATTCTAAAGCCCAGCTTAGCCTAGTTGCCAAACACACCCTAAAATTGAGAAGTTGTGCTTACGGATTTATACATATTTAGATGCTCCGGTGAGCAAACAAGCCACATATAAATCTTGAAAAATACTATGACAATTGTATCTAGTTTTACTCTTACTCTCATGCTTATGGTCTGGGGCGGATCTATATTGATTGTTAGGAGGACACTTGCACCCCTAGCAACTCTAAATTTACATTTTAAACCCCTTCTAAATTGCAATTTCCCCCATAAGTTTAAAGAATTTGCATCCCATCCCTACTACATAACCACCAAAAAATGTATACTTGTTATCCGCCCCCTAAGAAAAAATTTACGAATCCACCACTAGTTACGATCCTCGATATCTTGAAGAACAAGTCAAAATGAGTTAAGTATTATCATATTAGTGATAGATGGTAATTTTGAGGTCTACATCTCCCCACTATAATCAATAATCTCTATTTTCATTAGTTATATCTGAACAAATGTAGTTTGTAAACTAATGTAGAACACATGACAGATATGTTTATGTCAAAATGGGACAGTCGTAAGCTCAAACGCGGGCCCGGTCGAGGAAAATAACTTGCTACGAAGAAACGGTCATAACGTTCAAACCGTACGTCGGAATTGGACGAATTATATATGAAAATCAACCATCTCAACGAGATGGAGCCATCTAAACATACCCTTAAGGGTTCGGTTTGCTTTCTCCATTTCGCCAAATTCCTTACTGTTGATGTTCGTGAACAAACACTCAATGGGGGTTGTCCACCGTAGAATGCAGTTTCGATCCTGACGACGCTGAGGAGAAGGGAGAGGATGAATGTTGGGGCCGACTCCTCCTCTGACTTTACGCCCGATTCTAAGCGCGCGGGGTGGGCTGATCACATGCACATGTAAGAATCGCAGGAGTACGGGGCTAGTTTCCCCCGTGGTACCTCCGACGGTCAAGTCAGCTGTGGAGCTTGAGTGAGGATTAGGGGAAGGTCCTTGGGCCATTGAGGTCCTCGGAGCGTGCTCTTTTGAGAGTTTTCTAATCCATTCTTAACCAAGGTATGTTCCTTATTTTTATGAAGAAGAAGAAGTAGCTAAGCAATTATCACTTACCCATCTTTACCTTACACCCCTCCTTTTATAGTCCCTTGCCTCTGAGAGGTTGACCCCTGGCTTGTACTATGCATAGGAGGCGGCTGAGGGGTGAGCAGTCGAGCTGCTGAGTCATCATTCTCCTTTCAGATGACGACTGGCGATTGGAATGGAGGTCACTCAAGTACAGGAGAGAAATGGCTTCTCAGTATCCTGGATTTGATAGAAGAGGTAGGGCATAGGATAGGTCGGCTGCTTGGTCGTCCTTCTCTCTCCAGGTGGTGGCTGGTGATTGGAGGAGAAGTCATTCGTGCACAGGAAAGCATCATGACAATCTTCTAGGAAATGACTTGTAAGCAGAATAAGTGGCTTGGACATGAGGTTTGTCAGAATGGAGATCTTGATGGAACTAATCTATACGGTTGTGTCGATTGACAGCTGAAGTGAACTTGGTCGGCTCTTATCCCTTTAGTCGAGGCGGGTTGATCTTCTAGCCATCATTATGATTTGGCGACCCGATAGTCGAGTGAGCTTTGGGTCGGGTGTATGGTTGAGTCATCTGCTCGAGGAGTCATATTAATTGCGAGGGGGCGACTGATCACGTACTTCGAGTCGGTCATGATGACCCATGATCGAAATATGGCTTGTCTGCTCGTTTGGTCGAGAGACTTGACCTTGGCTGGGCTTTTGAGCCTCTAAGTTGGTTTAGGTCATAGCTCTCTTGGGCTTATACAGACATTCTTCCGACATCTCTATCTTTGGATGGTAAATTATCATAACACTTACGGTTTGAGAGATTTCTGCATTTTTATTCCTTTTTTACTATTTTTAGTAATATTTTAGAAGTCTGTATTGATTAGGAAACAAATCCGATTTGATCTCAGATTTGACCGGTGGACTTTTCTAGTCATAAGGAGTCTTTTTTTAGTTTTAATATTTTAGGAATTTTTTTACTATTTTTGGTAAAGTTTGAGTTCTTGGTAGGAGTTTGAGTCCTTGTAGAAGTCTTGTTTCCTTTTCTATTTAAGTAGAATCTTGTAAGCCCTAGAGTCATAACTTTTAATTAATAAAATTTTATTTTATTTTTTTTAATATTTACTTCGTGGATTCGAAGATTGTCCTTGGTGGATTCCGAAGCTACTACCTCCGCGTTGCGTCATAAACGTAGGACTTGCACTGAACCGTATTAATTCTTACATGTTTTGCTTGTAAATGTAGCACTTGCACTGAACCACATTAATTCTTACATGTTTTTAGTTCATTTGATTGATCTTTTATATGTTTATTATGCGTGTGGGATTGTTTAATCTCGGCCTTTCATGTGCGACGATTCGGCACATACGGTCCGTAACATAATTTAATCAGAAATTTTAAGCTTTACACACGATTTTGAATTGGGAGAAGGAATTTCCTGTCCAGAAAATTAGCACTCTTGGATCATAACAAATTTCTTTCCTGCATCATGAATCATTGAATCTGAGTCGTTCAATAACGAGTATGCAATTAGAAACGCTCCTCGCCCGCTATAGATGGGATTATGTTAAACACTTCCATTCTACTAGGCATTTTGGCCACGAGAAAAGGTTAAACTCCTATATTTTGGGTATTTTTAAAATTGATGCTCTACTCAATTTAGGCAATTTATTTCATCCAAATGCTTAATCTAATGGATTATATGCTAACCACGTAAATGTAAGGCCAATTAGGTATCGAAGGAGCTCGTAATAAGTTGTTTATATAAGCAGCTTATAGAAGTAACTTATATAAGTTGATGAAAATAGCTATTTGGTAATCATATATCAAAATATAACTTCCAAAAATAATTTCAAGTGTTTGATAAAACTGTGCTTAAACATCATTATAAATGAAAATTATCAAAACACACATAATTTTAGTTTCATATTTATCCGTACGTAATAAAATATATTGTCAAAATCTAAAGGCTGTATATAGTATATAAAGCACGAAAATCAGAAGTAACTTTTAAGAGCATCTCAGGTTGCTCCTAAAAGCACTATCTTAAAATAAAAATAGTTTCAATAGGCATACTATCTCTTTTACCAGACACCAATATTAACTGTTTATTAAAAAAAATATAAGCAGAAACACCCTAAAATTCCAACACCAAATTGGTCCTAAATAGACATTTATGAATAAATTCTGTACTTGCACGCACATGTCTCCTTGTTGAGTTCTTTGTACAATCATGTCTCATAGCACTGTAGTGTAGTATATTACTGGCTATATTAGACCTGTCATAAAAGCATGAAAAAAGTCAGTATTTTATTAAAAAAAAAAAGAAGAAGAAGAAGAAGAAGAAGATGATGATGATGATGGTTTTAGACCTTATAAAGTTCAACGCACATGTCTCCTTGTTGCATTCTTTGTACAATCATGTCTCGTTGCACTGTAGTGTAGTATATTACTGGCTATATTAGACCTGTCATAAAAGCATGAAAAAAGTCAGTATTTTATTTTAAAAAAAAGGAAGAAGAAGAAGAAGATGGTTTTAGACCTTATACAAGCATCTCCAAGGGGCTGGAAAAATCCTGCCCTTAGTTAAATTTTTGGAGATTTAAATGGTTTGTGCTCCAAGAGACCGAAAAAAGATCCCATTCACCCCAAGTCTCTTAACATCCTCCCTAAATTAAGAGGAATGTTAAAGTCCCTTAACCTTCCCCTTATAATTTTAAACTAATATATCTTGTTTTGGAGTTAATTTATAGTTAATTAAATTTAGTTAATGTATAGTTAATTTAAAATAATATAATTAATTTAATGTATAGTTAATTCAAATTGATTAATATTTTCTAAAATGCACCCCTTATAATTTTTTATTATAATTTTTATTAATATAAATTTAAATTTAAAATGATATTTAACTTTTAACATGATTTATATAAATTAATTATTATATAAATTAATTATTTGTTAAATTTTAATATGATTAATTAATTTAATGAGTATATAAGGTAATTTCTTAATTTAAATTAATTAATTAATTATTTTTAGTTATTAATATTTAGTTATTTATTCATTTATAAATGAACCACATATTTAATTAAATCCTAATCAATAAAATTAAAATACTTAAATATGAATAATTAAGGGGTAAGGGGACTTTTAAGGGAGAACCATTGGAGGAGAACCTTCCCCTCCCTTAAAATTCCCCCTAGATTAAAAGACATTTGTAGAGAACCCTTTGAGATGCTCTAAAGTTCAACTACTTGGAATTACTTCTACGAATAATTTAGGATAGAGAATATCTAAATACGGAAAGAAAAATCTTGTATTCTACTCATGATACATAGGTTTCAGACATCTAAACACAAATAATAAAATCATACAAAGACATGCCACCGCCTAAACCTATTAAGAAATAATCTTCTATTAGTTATGCTCTCTAAATTCTTTAATACTCACCGTGAAAGGAGAATATTTCTCCATTGTTCTTGATTTTTGGACTAAAAATATTGAAGATATTATTCCTTTCTGTACAAGGCAAAACTTACATACAAAATTGGAAAATTTTTGGCGGTTCTCTAGTGCATGTTAGCAGGCGAAAATCTCCCTGCTAACTTGCGCTCCCGCCTTGAAAATGGTGAAAAAAGGGGGAAAAGGGGGAAAAATTATGGAATTTGGATTAAGATCTTCAAATATGATTTCGTCATCTCCTGCTGATCCTAATTTCTTTGAAGATGATGAAGAATTAATGGGATCCACATGCCCAAAAGGGGAAAAGAAGAAGAAGCTATTGGCTGATATTTTAAGCTCAACAAATCCTATTCAGCCTCAGATTGATTCTTTGAGGAATGGAGGATCGAGTTCGATTTTGATTTCTGAAGTTTCTTAGGCTGATGAAGTGGAGATGGAATCATCTCAAGATTCGGTAAGAAATATTGGATCTAAAGCCTTGACTTCTAAAGATGTGCTTGAATCTGTCCCCGTCTCATCTTTTAAATCTGGAGATGGTATTAGATCTGGTTTTTTAAGATATGAATCTTTTCTTCCTTCAAATTCTGTTTCAAGATCTGCTAAAAATTCTAATCCTGTGATGAATCCGGAGGTAAATCCTGGGATCATTGGTGAAATTTCTATTCCATTGAAATCAGTGGTGGCAAATTCTAAAGATTCTTGCTCTGTGAATTTAGTAAATTAGTTCAATGAGAATGTTGATTTCCCCCCGTTGAAGTCTTCCAATATTTCAAATGAACCTATCCAAGAAATCAAAAAAAGCTGGGTCAGTTGTTTTGCTGACAATAGAAAAACTGGAAGTGGCTTAGTATTGGATTATTTGCCTCCAGAAAATAAAGACAATGTTACATTTAATGATGAAGAATGGAATGAAGGGGTTTCTATGTGGCAGTTCTCATTAGTTGGACAAGTTCTTGGATTAAATGCCAAATTTAAGGCTATGGAGATCTATGTCAAGAAATTATGGTCTAAATTGGCTATTCCTGAAATCTGTTTTCTTAAACCTGGGATCTTCTTGTTTAAATTTAAAAATAAGGAAGAAATGAATGTGATTTTAGAAAATGGACCATGGTTCTTTAGATCTCGTCCTCTCTCATTGAAGCACTGGACAATTGGAGAAGATTATGAGAAAATAAATGAGCGCATCTACCCTGTTTGGGTTCAATTACCAGCACTTAAGCTAAATCTATGGAATGCTAAAACTATCAGTAAGATAGTTAGTGTCATTGGTCGTCCTGTTGCCACTGACAAACTAACGGCAAATAAGCAAAGATTAGCTTATGCAAGGGTACTTGTAGAAGTAACTATGCCTGCAGATCTACCTGATTTTATTATCTTACAAGGCCCTGATAGAAAGAAATTTAATCAAAGAGTGATATATGAGCTGAAGCCTAAATGGTGCACTCAGTGTAAACTGGTGGGGCATGAAACCAAGTTTTGCAAAAAATTTCCATGGGTTCAAAAATGGATTCCAAAAACAAATGTTACAGCTATACATAATGTGCAAGTTTCAGCTGGACATGTGCAGGTTAATCCTGTGCATGTTTTGGATGCTGAAAATGAACTGTCAAAGTTAGGGGCTATGAATTCAAATATACAAAGGCCAGCTGGACATAATGTGCAGGATGCTGATAATCATGTGCATGTTTTAGATGCTGGAAACCAATAGGAGGGGGACACCTCACTTGTCCCCCCTATTGGTCCTATATTTTGGGTCCCTGTAGCAAAGCTCAATCTACAGCTAAACTTTACAAGAAGAACGAAAGATTTTTTTTTTTTCATAAAAGAAAAAAGAGGAGATGAAAGAGGCTTTACACCATCTCCAACCGGCCGGAAAAATCTGGCTTCTTAGCTAAATTTATGGAGATTTAAGGGGATCCTCTTCACCCCAAGTCTTTTTAACTTCCTTTCTAAATTAAGGAGAAGGTTAAAGTCACTTAACCTTCCACTTATAATTTTATATTAATATATTTTGTTTTGGAGTTAATTTATAGTTAATTAAATTTAGTTAATGTATAGTTAATTTAAAATAATATAATTAATTTAATGTATAGTTAATTCAAATTGATTAATATTTTCTAAAATGCACCCCTTATAATTTTTTATTATAATTTTTATTAATATAAATTTAAATTTAAAATGATATTTAACTTTTAACATGATTTATATAAATTAATTATTATATAAATTAATTATTTGTTAAATTTTAATATGATTAATTAATTTAATGAGTATATAAGGTAATTTCTTAATTTAAATTAATTAATTAATTATTTTTAGTTATTAATATTTAGTTATTTATTCATTTATAAATGAACCACATATTTAATTAAATCCTAATCAATAAAATTAAAATACTTAAATATGAATAATTAAGGGGTAAGGGGACTTTTAAGGGAGAACCATTGGAGGAGAACCTTCCCCTCCCTTAAAATTCCCCCTAGATTAAAAGACATTTGTAGAGAACCCTTTGAGATGCTCTAAAGTTCAACTACTTGGAATTACTTCTACGAATAATTTAGGATAGAGAATATCTAAATACGGAAAGAAAAATCTTGTATTCTACTCATGATACATAGGTTTCAGACATCTAAACACAAATAATAAAATCATACAAAGACATGCCACCGCCTAAACCTATTAAGAAATAATCTTCTATTAGTTATGCTCTCTAAATTCTTTAATACTCACCGTGAAAGGAGAATATTTCTCCATTGTTCTTGATTTTTGGACTAAAAATATTGAAGATATTATTCCTTTCTGTACAAGGCAAAACTTACATACAAAATTGGAAAATTTTTGGCGGTTCTCTAGTGCATGTTAGCAGGCGAAAATCTCCCTGCTAACTTGCGCTCCCGCCTTGAAAATGGTGAAAAAAGGGGGAAAAGGGGGAAAAATTATGGAATTTGGATTAAGATCTTCAAATATGATTTCGTCATCTCCTGCTGATCCTAATTTCTTTGAAGATGATGAAGAATTAATGGGATCCACATGCCCAAAAGGGGAAAAGAAGAAGAAGCTATTGGCTGATATTTTAAGCTCAACAAATCCTATTCAGCCTCAGATTGATTCTTTGAGGAATGGAGGATCGAGTTCGATTTTGATTTCTGAAGTTTCTTAGGCTGATGAAGTGGAGATGGAATCATCTCAAGATTCGGTAAGAAATATTGGATCTAAAGCCTTGACTTCTAAAGATGTGCTTGAATCTGTCCCCGTCTCATCTTTTAAATCTGGAGATGGTATTAGATCTGGTTTTTTAAGATATGAATCTTTTCTTCCTTCAAATTCTGTTTCAAGATCTGCTAAAAATTCTAATCCTGTGATGAATCCGGAGGTAAATCCTGGGATCATTGGTGAAATTTCTATTCCATTGAAATCAGTGGTGGCAAATTCTAAAGATTCTTGCTCTGTGAATTTAGTAAATTAGTTCAATGAGAATGTTGATTTCCCCCCGTTGAAGTCTTCCAATATTTCAAATGAACCTATCCAAGAAATCAAAAAAAGCTGGGTCAGTTGTTTTGCTGACAATAGAAAAACTGGAAGTGGCTTAGTATTGGATTATTTGCCTCCAGAAAATAAAGACAATGTTACATTTAATGATGAAGAATGGAATGAAGGGGTTTCTATGTGGCAGTTCTCATTAGTTGGACAAGTTCTTGGATTAAATGCCAAATTTAAGGCTATGGAGATCTATGTCAAGAAATTATGGTCTAAATTGGCTATTCCTGAAATCTGTTTTCTTAAACCTGGGATCTTCTTGTTTAAATTTAAAAATAAGGAAGAAATGAATGTGATTTTAGAAAATGGACCATGGTTCTTTAGATCTCGTCCTCTCTCATTGAAGCACTGGACAATTGGAGAAGATTATGAGAAAATAAATGAGCGCATCTACCCTGTTTGGGTTCAATTACCAGCACTTAAGCTAAATCTATGGAATGCTAAAACTATCAGTAAGATAGTTAGTGTCATTGGTCGTCCTGTTGCCACTGACAAACTAACGGCAAATAAGCAAAGATTAGCTTATGCAAGGGTACTTGTAGAAGTAACTATGCCTGCAGATCTACCTGATTTTATTATCTTACAAGGCCCTGATAGAAAGAAATTTAATCAAAGAGTGATATATGAGCTGAAGCCTAAATGGTGCACTCAGTGTAAACTGGTGGGGCATGAAACCAAGTTTTGCAAAAAATTTCCATGGGTTCAAAAATGGATTCCAAAAACAAATGTTACAGCTATACATAATGTGCAAGTTTCAGCTGGACATGTGCAGGTTAATCCTGTGCATGTTTTGGATGCTGAAAATGAACTGTCAAAGTTAGGGGCTATGAATTCAAATATACAAAGGCCAGCTGGACATAATGTGCAGGATGCTGATAATCATGTGCATGTTTTAGATGCTGGAAAGAAATTATCTAGTCCTTTGTCAGGTTCAAATCTACAAAGGTCTGAGGTGTGGGTGAATTTTCCTATGCATTTTCAGCATACCATGGAGACTGGTATACTTCAACAATCTGATAAAGGAAAGGAAAAACAACTTGATGATAAGACAATGCAAGCTAGTAGCAGTCAATTAGGCTTCAAAGAGAATATTCCCGTGCATGGTGTGCATGTACAGCAAGTACCAAATAAGCCTTGGACTCTAGCACAAAGTAACAATAAGAAGAAATCTACTCCTACTAATGCTTTTTCTCATTTGGAGTTTTTGGATTTGGATCCCTCTTAAGTAGATAGGGGGAGAGGGGATTTTTGCTAAATGAATTTGTCTTTTTGGAATGTGAGGGGACTTAATAAGTCCTCTAAGCAACAAATGGTCAAGAATCATTTATGGAATTATCACATCTCTTTTATAGCATTGTTGGAAACAAAAATAAAAGATGCAAATTTGCAAAAAATTGCCAAGAAAATTGCAAATGGTTGGAAATGGACATCAAATGTGAGAAATCCAGGGAAAGCAAGAGTTATGATTCTTTGGAATCCAAAGATTCTGGATATGCAAGTTATTTGCTGCTCTGATCAAAATATCTCCTACACTGTTAAATCTGTTTATGGGAATTTAGATTGTGTGGTTTCCTCAATATATGGTTTTAATAATTTGGAAGCAAGAAAGGATTTATGGGCTGAATTAAGATCTGTTTTTAATAATTTGGAAGCAAGAAAGGATTTATGGGCTGAATTAAGATCTGTTCATCAGTCTATAGGGGATATTCCTTGGCTCATTTGTGGAGAAGGATTTATGGGCTGAATTAAGATCTGTTCATCAGTCTATAGGGGATATTCCTTGGCTCATTTGTGGAGACTTCAACACAATTATTAACAATGAGGAGAAAATTAGAGGGAATTTGCTCTCAGATTCAGATACAGCAGATTTCAGAGAATTTATTTTTGACTGTCAGCTCTCACACTTGAAATCTTTGGGGTGTTTCTATACCTGGAACAACAAACAAGACTCAGAATTCAGGATCTGGAGTAGATTAGACAGAGTCTTGGTAAATGACAAGTGGATTCAAAACCTCAATGCCAGTCAGGTTGAATTTCTTATTCCTAACCTTTCTGATCATTCTCCTGGTGTTATTACAATAAATGAGGAAATTTTGCAAGGAAAGAAGTCTTTCAAATTTTTTAAAATGTGGACAAAACATGTCAGTTTTATCCCCACAGTTGCATCCACCTGGCAATCTAGAGTAAATGGCTGTACTATGTTTTCTGTTTGCTCTAAATTGAAGAAGCTGAAGATTGCTCTGAGGGACATTAATAAAAAGCACTTCTACAATATTTGTGAGCAGGTTCTTAATGCTAAATATGCTCTGGAAGAGATTCAAAAAAACCTTCAAGCAAGTCCTTTATGTCCTATGTTAATAAAACAGGAAAAAGAGTGTATATCCAACCTTAACAGATTACAAGATTGTGAGCTTTCATTTCTTCAACAAAAAGCTAGAATTTCCTGGAGTGTTCATGGAGACAGATGTACAAATCTATTCCATTCTAGGATAAAGGCTGACAGGCACCATAACAGGATTATGCTCTTATATGATAATTTGGGACAGAGGATCACTGATGGTGATGGAATAGCTAATGAGTTAATCTCTCACTTCAAAGGTCTCATAGGAACATCTATTGATATTTCTCCACCCAATATTGACATTATTCATTCAGGTCCATGTTTAAATGCTTCTCAGGCTAGGGGTTTAATTACCCCTGTTACCAAGGAAGAAATAAAGGATGTCATATTCTCCATGTCAGACAACAAGACCCCTGGGCCAGATGGCTATAATATTGAGTTTTACAAGTCTGCCTGGAGCATTGTTGGAGATGAAGTTATTCAAGCTATAGGGGAATTCTTCAAAACTGGGAAACTGTTAGGCATGGTTAATTCTACTGTCATTTCACTCATTCCAAAAGTTAACTGTCCTACTTCTCCATCTGAATTTAGGCCTATATCTTGCTGCAATGTCCTTTATAAAATCATTTCAAAAATCTTGGTGAATAGAATAAAACCAGTTATTGGGGTTCTTGTCAATGGAGCTCAAAGTGCATTTTTGGAGGGAACACAAATCACTAATAATATTCTGCTTGCACATGAATTGATTAAGAATTACAGCAGGAAATGTATCTCCCCTAGAGTAATGCTTAGTATTGATATCAAAAAAGCATTTGACACCATCAACTAGAATTTTATGAGAGATTTGCTGATTGGTTTGAGTTTCCCAAATAAGATGGTAGACTGGATTATGACATGTATTTCTTCCCCTTCTTATTCCATTTCTTTAAATGGATCACTCCATGGATATTTCAAAGGCAAGAGGGGACTGAGACAGGGAGACCCTTTATCCCCATATCTCTTTATCTTGGGCATGGATTATCTCTCTAGAAGTTTGGATTTATTGAGCAATGAAAAACAATTCAAATTCCATCCGAAATGTAAAAGGCTCAAGATAACTCATCTTATTTTTGCTGATGATCTATTACTCTTTAGCAAGGGAGATCTGGTATCAGTTAAAAAGCTTCAGCAGTGTCTACAAGATTTCAGTGCAACTTCTGGACTTGAGGCTAATCCTAATAAATGTCATATCTTCTTTGGGGGTGTGAATGAAAGGGTTAATGCTTCTATAAATGACTTGTTGGATTTCACTGAAGGCACTCTCCCTATCAAATATGGACTGTAATCCTCTGCTCAACAGGATTACCAATCAATTTCAAAAATGGTCTTCCAGGAACCTCTCCTATGCAGGCAGAATACAAGTTATAAAAAGTGTGATTTTAGGTGTCCAAATTTACTGGACATCTAGCTACATTCTGCCCATGAAAGTTCTCCAGAGAATTGATGAAATGAATAGGGATTTTTTGTGGGGAAGAACTGATCATAAGCAAAAGTTTTCTCTGGTAGCATGGGAGAAAATCTGTCAGGGGAAAAAATTTGGTGGCTTAGGCATATTCTCTGCTAAACTCTGGAATTTTGCTGCTGCTTTGAAGAATATCTAGTATATTCATGTGAATAAAGAGCTCCTATGGATCAAGTGGATCCATGGTACTTATCTAAAGCACAGTGATATCTGGACTGTCAATGCTAAAGCAAATGATTCATGGCTTTGGAAACAAATGCTGAAAATCAGGGATAAGGCCTTGGCTTTAACTGGAGGGGTTGATAACCTAAAGCTTATCATTAGATCTTGCTATAAGAATTCTAAAGTTAAACCATCGGCTTTGTATACAGCTTTATCTCCAACTTCCCTCAAAGTTCCATGGTATAATACTGTTTGGGATAGTTTGAATTACCCTAAACACTCTATCATAAGTTGGCTTGCTGTTCAAAACAGGTTGTTAACACAAGACACTCATATAGGGTTATCCTAGCCGGGATATTGGCCAACTGCGCCATGATGTCGAAATGGGGCGGAGAGCTCGCATTCCTCGGTTTGTCTCTTCCAATCGGATGATTGAATCGAGACTGCCTCGGGTTTTGAGTCTCCTGGCGTAAAGGCTCTTTCCCCTTTTCTTTCCGCTGGACTCTTTCCGTGGCCACAGGCGTCGGGGGAACTGCTACAATACCCAGTTCTGACAATATCTTGGAAGGAGGAGTGTTGGTACCCAATTGCTCGGAAGCATCTGGGTATTTGTAGTGGTACTCATTCCGGCTTGCTGTTCAAAACAGGTTGTTAACACAAGACAGGTTGTCTATGATGGGGATACTGAATGCAAATTCATGTTATCTATGCAATGGTGATGCAATAGAGAGCCGCGACCATCTCTTCTTTGAATGTAAATACTCTATGAATGTCTGGAACAAGATCATGTCATGGATCAAATTTAGATGGCGTTCCTGCAATTGGAATTGTATGTTGGAATGATACTCTACCTGTTTGAGAGGCAAGGGTTTTAAGCAAAAGATTAAGAGGATGGCCTTTAATGCTTCATTATACAAGATAGGTATTTGTAGTGGTACTCATTCCCACTCCGAGTTGCAAATGTTTCCTGCTCATCTTCAGAAAGTGGGAATGCCGGAATTCTGTCATCGTCTCTTCCTAGAATAGCGGACACCCCATAACAAGATTTACCTTTCCCTTTTGGCGTCTTCTTGGAAGAGGTCCCAGTCCACTGTTCGTCTCCGATCAGATCTGGATGAACCCAAAGAATCTCAGTTAAGGAGATCAAAGTTGATATGTTGATACTAATTCTCAATGGCTCTACTGCTCCGGAAAATAGAGAATGAGTTTTATCACTGTAAATAGATTTTTGGAGTGTGAGTGATGTTTTTTAGTATACTAGTTTTTACACACGTGCAATGCATGTGATTTAATATCATGATTAAGTATTTTTGGCAGTTTGTGCTCATATTTTTCTTTAAACTCTTACATTCCGATTATTTTTTTATGTTTGTTTAAATGGGATACACCCAATTTAAAAGGCAATTTGATTTTATTATTCTCCACGAGGTACTTGAAGATACCAGGAACTTCGTCCTCTCTGAATGAATAAACTTTCGGGAACTTTGTCTCCGAAGCTTTCGGCCTTGGGGTCTGCTGTTGCCACCTTGGTTGTTGAGGCGCCTTTTGCTGCTGCTGTTGCGGTTGCGCCTGCACCTCGAACGTTTGATTTGCGTTCACGGCGTTCGCATGCGCTTTTCCTTTACCCCTAGGGGTGAAGTTCGGTTGCGGAGCGTTATTTGCTATTTGGCCCCTTTCCGCCAAGTCAAATGTACTTATGATGTTCAACACAAACTGCTCAAAATATAGACTTTGATTTTTTTTTCTATTTCAATGAGAATAAATATTAATTTCATATATATAAAATTCTTTGTGTTCCTAATTTATTACTTAAATAAATTAGAAGCTATCTCTTTATTTTCCTCTAAAATGAATTCTTCTGATGTGCATCCAATAAGAATTTCTGTTATTTCAATAATATTACCTTTGCTCTATCCTTATCATTTTTCATAAAGATCTAAAATAAATACCTGCATTATTCATTACTAATTTCTCTTAGATTATAATATTAATATTTAATTTGAAGAACACAGTATGGAATTTATGAATACTTACTAATTTTTCTTATGTCTTCCATGGAGATTTTTTCTTTGATTAGGATAAAGTTATTAAATTATTTTTTAATGTAACTCATTCAGTGCTTCATTAATAGATATGTCTTATGTTAATGCCAATTCAAGTGATTCATTGACGTTTTCTGAATTTTAGATTTATTTCCATCACTTTCCCATTTGCAATGGAA